GGCTGCGGCCTTCCCTGTTCCGGCAGCTGCGTAGTAGTGATAATAATAAAAATTGAAACAAAAAAGCCTTTACTGCTGTTGTTGTTGTTGTTTTTATTATTAGTATTATTTTAGGAGTTTGCCAGTAATCGTTGCATGGACATCCCCGTTTAAAAGTCAGAAGGCTCTGGTACAGCGGTAGCTGCCAGCCAGACGGGGCCCGCTGTCTCCCAGCACGACTTTCCTCCGGAAAGCTGATCTACACCGTCCTCCTGCAGGCAAAATGGGGTCTGCGTGAGCTTTGCGCGCCTGCCAAGTGCAGGGCTGCAGGATCTGGGCTCTGCGGCCTCCCTGGTGTCCAAGATCACGGACGGGAAAGGCCAGAATTCTGGTGTGCGTACCCTGGTGACTCGTCCAGCACTGGAAGCGTTGCCACTGCCCCTCCAGGCTCACCTCAGCCAGCACCCTGCAAAGGACACAGGTGCAGCCACGGAAAAAAACATCTGCAGTCCCTTGTTTGTGAGTTAAATGGCATCATGGAGTGGCTGACCACTGGAGTAGGTCACAGCTAGACACATTGGTGGGGGGTTAAAAAGTTAAAAAAAGAAGCCTAGGCTCCATCTTAGAATGTATCTACATTATAAATAAATAAGGAGTAAAACTTCAGTTGTCTGGCACAGGCTGATGGTGAGGCTTTAGCCTGTCATAAGCCTCTGCAGTTTGCTCCAGTCCCACAGAAGTGGGACCTCCAAATGTATCTCATATTCATTGATGAATTTCTGGTTATTAGTGAAGCCTTGGCTACTCAAGCTTTGAAGAGTGGGCTCTAGGTCTGGAATTAACATGTGGAGGGAGTCTGAGAGCAGTGAAACCTGTACCCCCTGCTTTTTCTCATGCTTTGGAGATGTGCTACCAAATCCTGCTCAGAGCGTCTGTGTTGTCTGAGTCTTCAAATCCCATTACAGGTGATTAAAATAATCTAGAGTTAACAAATTCCCAAATCACCCTACCCAAGTCCTTGTATGAAAGAAAGGGCATCATTTCCGACAGACTGGATGTGGAAAAATTAATTTCCTGGCATCCAAACATAAGAACAGCCATGCTGGTTGAGACAAGTCCATCCAGCCCAATAGCCTGTCTCAAACATAAACAACAGCTGATGCCTGGGGAACGGCATAAGAGAGGGGTAAGCACACAATGATAGTTCCCTGGCATGCTGTCCCAAACTCCAGCAAGCTGTGGCTCAGGGACTTCCCTGAGACAGATGTGGTATCTTTAAATTTAATAGCCCTTGATGGATTTTTGCTTCCATGAATTTGTGTAATTGCTTTTTGAACCCATATCAATTTTTGACATTGCAGCATCCTGTGACAATTAGTGGCACACTCCAACAAAGCAGGGTTTAAAGAAGAGCCCTTATTTTGTTTGTTTTGAACAGGCCACCTAATAATTTCATCTGATGCTCCTAGTTCTTGTGGTATAAGAGTCAATTACAATCATTCCCTATTTGCCTTCTCGGTGCCATTCATGATTTTACAGATTTCTCTCATGTTCTCCCTCACATTTTGATTTTTTCAGATATATGCTCTTAATCTATTTTGAAATCCCAGGACAGAAGCCATGTCACAGCCTGGACCTTCCTCTGGCCCTAGTGTTACCATTTTGGAGCTAGCAGGCTTGAACAACACCATTTTCAGGGTGTAGGCACATCAGATATATTTATATCAGGATGCAGCAGTGTTTTTAGCTTTGTTTCTTCCATACTAAATTCTAAAATTTGATTTACTTTTTTGAACACTGCTGAGAATGGATCTGGCATTTTCATAAATATGTCTTGATTTCACAGCTCTTCAAGGATTTCTTCTTTGAGAGCTAACAGTGACTCCAGCACCCTCAGCTCTGTATGTAAAGTCTGCTTTGCCCACCGGCATTACAATACACATGTTGCTTTTCCTGTTTTATCACCCGATTACTCAGTATCATGAGATGATGTTTTTGTCATGTGCCATGTTTTTGCTACCATAAATAACATTGTGTCACCCACAAGTTTGCCACCTTGCTGTTCAACCCCTTTCTAGTGTATGAGTCTGGCAGATGGGTTTTGATACGTACTTAAGATCCTGGTGAAATTAGATGGGTGTTGGAGGAAGAAGTAGTGGGCAACTATTTCTCCTCTTTCCATCAGCACAGCTTTCATCTCACCTAGATTTGGACTGAGCCAGCTGCTCCTCAGGGAGATGCTGGCAGGCTCTTTTTGACCCTGCAGCACATTTGGAGGGATGCTGGTGCAGGCTGTCCATCGTGCGCAAGGCCAGCTGTTCAGCTGACACAACTGATTTGCGCTATCCGAGGATCTGGCTGGAGATGGGGAGCCAGCCATCACGGGCATGGGGACAGCTGACATGGAGGTGGATGGCCTCAGCTGGACACGGCAGTGGGGACAGCTGGGGTGGCCTGAGCAGGGTCCACTGAGCAGTGCTGGGTTGAGGATGAAGCTGTGGGGGCAGCGCCCATTCTTTGCCCACCTTGTGGTGGTGTCATCCTAGTTCCCTCCACACAACCTGACAGGTATGTTTGTTGTTAATAACAAGAGTTTTGGAGGCAGGCCCCTGCTTCCTCGCTGCTTGTCAGTGCTGAGCACGGCCGGTCAGAGCCTGCTGTGAGTGCTGCTCGCACAGCCAGAGCTGTCCCCGGTGCGTCCCCATTCTAGCGTGTCAGCCAAGCGTTTAAGACACCTGCTTCTTTTCGCTCCTGCGCTGGCCACAGACTAATAGGGACAAACGGGAAGAGGACCTAGCAGAATGCAGAAAATAATCGTCCTGTGCCAAAAGGGAATGTATGATCAAAACTACAATGGGCAGGCAAGCAGTGAGGCAGTGACCCGCGGCAGCGCAATGTGTCAGGAAGAGAGAGCAGCAGCCCAGGGACAGCAACAGCCCAGAGCCTCAATTTGTAATGACTGTGTGGACCACATGCCAAAAAGTCTCTCCCCACCTCCTTGCTCCAGAGAGCTCTCCTAATGTTCTTAGCTACTTGGACATCACAAGGAAAAGAGCCTGCACGTTTCCAGCACACAACCAAAGGCATTTGCTTAAGCAAAGCACTGCCGTGCTTCGGCACTGCCGAACCTGCTTCTGACTCGGAGTGCTCCAAACACCTGTGAGTCAGACGATGGGAAATTCTCCCTGTCTTCACAAGCACAGATGAGTTTGAACCTTCTGGGCATTTTAGCAGTTTACCATCTGCACATATAACCTTTTTTCTGAGCACACTGAAGTCTTGTAGGAGGATGTTAAATCCAGGAACCAAAATAAGGAAACATGTTTACACCTGCTACATCTGTTCAAGAATTTCCAGCCTCTATTACACTTTTGACTTTCACATTCCCCCTCCTCCTCCCTCCTGTTTGGTCAAATGCCACCACATTAAAAACAATCCTCTATTTCCCCCCCGCCCCCCCCCAAGTCTCACAGACATTTTATCGAATCTTGTGAAAACTTACGGCATATGAAAGAAACTGTGAAATGGTCTAGCGACAGAAGCAAGTGCTG